TGCCCAAGGTGCATCGACCAGAAGTTCAAGCGCTGCCCGCCCCTGCCCAGCACCAGCGTGGTGATCGTGTTCCACAACGAGGCCTGGTCCACCCTGCTCAGAACCGTCTACAGCGTCCTGCACTCGGCCCCGGCCAGCCTGCTCAGGGAGGTCATCCTGGTCGATGACGCCAGCACCGACGGTGGGGACGAGAGGGGGGATGTGCGGGGGGGGGGAGGGAGGGGGGAGCTGAGGGGAGGATGTGGGAGATGTGGTGGGATGTGGGGTGAGAGGGGTGGTGGGATCAGAGGGACGCAGGAGCTCTGGCGCTGTGTGGGGTCAGAGGGATGTGGGAACTGTGGGGGGGGAAGTGGGAGCTGCGGTGGAATTTGGGGACCAGAGGGGTGCAGGAGCTGTGGGGGGATGTGAGGTCAGTGGGATGGTGGGATGTGGGGTCGGAGGGATGGTGGGAGTTGGGGTTGGAGGGATGCAGGAGCCCTGGTGGAATGTGGAGTGAAAGGGATGGTGGGAGATGGGAGATGTGATGGGATGCAGGAGCCCTGGTGGGATGTGGGAGCTCTGGTGGGATGTGGAGTGAAAGGGATGGTGGGAGATGTGATGGGATGCAGGAGCTGTGATGGGATGTGGGATCAGAGGGATGTAGGAGCTCTGGTGGGATGTGGGGTCAGAGGGATGTGGGAGCCGTGATGGGAACTGGGAACTGTGGTGGAATTGGGGGACCAGAGGGATGCAGGAGCTGTGATGGGGAGATATGGGGTGAGAGGGATGTGGGAATTGTGGTGGGATATGGGATCAGAGGGAAGCAGGAGCCCTGGCAGGGTGTGGGATCAGAGGGAAGCAGGAGCCCTGGCAGGGTGTGGGATCAGAGGGAAGCAGGAGCCCTGGCAGGGTGTGGGATCAGAGGGAAGCAGGAGCCCTGGCAGGGTGTGGGATCAGAGGGAAGCAGGGAATGCCCGGAGCGGCTCGTGCCGAGTCTCGGAGCAGCCCGGGATGTTCCCGGCGGCTCCTGCCGTTGTTTCCCACCCTCGGGGATCTTCCCCTCTCCATCAGCGATCCTAACCCAGATCCCACGAACACCTCGGTCACCCGCAAACCCTCGGGAGCCGCTCCCGGGGCTAATTAACCCCGTGAACTGCACCCGGGGCTCATTAATTAACAACCGGCGGCAGGGGCGGGGAGCGGGAGGAGCGGACTCTGCCCTCGGCCCAGAGAATTTCCCTTTCCCGAGCCTTTATGGTCCTCGGGTTTGGCTCCCGCCGTGGTGGGGACACGGGTGGGACTCGGATCTCTCGATTCAGCCAAAAATACTCTCGATTTACCCCCAAACCACTCTCGATTCAGCCAAAAACACCCTCGGGTTTGGGGGAAGGACATTCCACCTGTCTGCAAATCCAAACCCAGGAGCAGGAGCAGGGGCTGAGCAGTTC